TCCAAGTAGCTGAGATTATAGGTGTGTGCCTCCACACCCTGCTAATTTTTGTATTTGTATTTGTATTTTATTTTATTTTTGAGTCTTCCTCTGCCGCCCAGGCAGGAGTGCTGTGGCGTAATCTCAGGTCACTGCAACCTCCACCTTTCAGGTTCAAGCAGTTATCCTACCTCAGCCTCCTGAGTAGCTGGGATTACAGATGCCCACCAAGCCTGGCTGCTTTTTGTATTTTTAGTAGAGACAGGGTTTCACCATGTTGGCCAGGCTGGTCTTGAACTCCTGACCTCAAGTAATCCACCCACCTCGACCTTTCAGAGTGCTAGTATTACAGGCATGAGCCACCGTGTCCACCCCAATTTTTGTATTTTTAGTAGAGACAGGGTTTCTCCATGTTGTCCAGGCTAGTCTCGAACTCCTGACCTCAAGTAATCCACCCACCTCGGGCTTTCAGAGTGCTAGTATTACAGGCACAGGCCACCGCGTCCAGCCCAATTTTTGTATTTTTAGTAGAGACAGGGTTTCTGCATGTTGGCCAGGCTGGTCTCAAACTTCTGAGCTCAAATGATCTTTCCACCTCAGCTTCCTAAGTAGCTGAGACCACAGACACACAGACGTGCACCACCCTACCTGGCTAAGTTTTTGTATTTTTGGTAGAGATCTCCTGAACGGGAGCTCATTCCAGCCCAGCTCCCCACTTCTGCAGTGCGTGTGTGTGTGTGTGTGTGTGTGTGTGTGTGTGTGTGTTTCTCCAGGAGGGGAGCGGTAGTTTTCCTGTAGGAATTTTTTGTTCCTGGTGCAGTGGGCAGCAGAGGGGACCATATTTCCTCAGGGTGATGTATCCTGTGTATGTGTCATTGTGTTACCGGGAGGGGATGTGTTGATTCTATGCAATAAACATCATATTTTTAACATTCAGGATTGACTTCTAAAGACTCTTGGTACATAAGGAAGAAACCTGGAAGAGGAAAGCAAAGGAGTCAGGGATGGCTCCTCCTCAGGTGAGATGATATTCTCGGTGGATTGTTCTGTCTCCTTCCTTTCAGAAATGCTGAGTCTTGGAGTTGGGAATCTTCTCTGAGTCTGAAGCATCCTGCCTGACAGGTTTGCTCACCCTCACCCATGCCTTCCCTCAGTCCCTCTCATCTCGCTTAGATTCCGTCTCTTGTGACCCAGTGACATGGACTTGGGAAGAGGCTGCACTGGGCATGGGCCTGGGAAGGGCTCACACCAGACATGGATGGAGACGGGGTGAGGGTCCCGTGGTGTCAGGGCTGTTGGGCAGCAGGGATTGTTTAGGGGTCACATGTGGATGCATGTTTAGCTCTCTGTGGACCAGGATTAGAGCAGCTGCCAATGGAAGTCGCTTTAATGTGCCCAAGGTACGTGGTAAATTCTAGAAAAGGAGACCAATAAGGGAAAATCTTTTCTCCCTGATTTTATACTATATTTTTAGGTAATTGAGTGAGTTACTGTGTTTC